TGAAATAAAAAAAAGACTAAATGGGAGAAAACATTTGAGCATTTGCACAGTAATTCCATCAAAACTGTGGAGAAAATGAAGAGGAATTTCTCCAAAGAATATATATGGGAGGCCAGTTAGCATATAAAAAATAGCTCTTTGTCAACAACAATGAGATATCATAAGACAATAGTGAGCATGCCATATATTAAAAAGACTAGCGGTAATCAATGTGGGTAGGAATGTGGAGAAAAATAAGTTCGTTCACTGTTACTGGAAATGTCATCTGGTTTTGCCTTTATGGAAAACAATGACGAGATTTCTCTAAAACATGAAAACAGAGCTTCCATGTGATCGAAAAATTTCACTGCTTGGCATCTATGTGCAAAACATAAAAACATTTACCTGAAAAAAAAAATGTGCACACCTATATTCACTGTCACAGTACAATAGCCAGGATACGGAACAAACCAAATGCTTAATGATTATGAATGGATAAAGAAGTTATGTGTTATACATATCTGTGTGTATGATGAAATATTAAGCAGTTATAATAAAAGATAAAATCATGCCTTTACAACCTAAATGGAAATAGAGGACATCATGTTAAGCAAAAGAAGTCAGAGAGAGAAGGACAAATATGAAATGATCTCACTCATCCCTTGTATGTCAAGAGACAATAAAAGGAAATAGACTGTATTGAGCAACGCCAAACTCTTGATATTATATATATGATTAACAAACAGTGGGGGAAAGAAAAGGGGGGATTAAATAGGTGAACTAAGAACATCGATTAGTTGCTTTGGTCGTGGTGCAGTATAGTAACTTTAAAAATAGATATAATTTTTAAAGAAATGCTGATTGAGGTTCTGTGATTTGCAAAACTGTTGTAAACTCACGGACATACTTTTAACAAATACCACATCTATCACCAATATACAAACCTCCCCCGGCCAAGGACTCTAATTCCTCTCCCTTTCAACCATCTCCCCACACCACCAACTCAACTGTGTGGATCAGTTTTGCCACTGTGTCGCCTTTGGCCATCTGTTGCCACCTTGCTGTCAATACCACAAATAGTAACACAACTGTAGCTATGCATACTTGTACAAAAATAAAAATAATTTTATATGACCTGGAAATCAAGCAATATTTTGAAAAGTTGAGGATACTTGTATCAAATTTAACAACAAAAATAAGAGCTGCCATTCATTTACCAACATCAAGCTACTGAGTGCCTAGCAGCACTCTGAAAAATTCAAACACATCATCTGATTTGATTTCTTATTATCCCTTATGATTTTGTGACCTAGAAATGTTTATTATCCCTTTTCACAAGAGCCCATAAGATATACTAAGATAGACGTAATCTTTAATTTTCCTAAGAGACAGAACTTGGATTTAAATTACATGCCCCCACACAATCACTCTCTATTGTATCTCTGCTCTGTTTCTCTATCTATATCACTTTCTCATCTGAGAGGTGACAGACGTAGGCATTCCCACAGAAATAGCCTTTTGGAGTATGAACCACAATAGGCTGTAGTTTTTCCTCTACTGTGTAGAAGTTGTAAGAAAAGTAACCTGCTGCATCTTATATTTCAAAGCTATATGAAAAGAGAGAGCTGTGATTCAAGGAAAAGAGACACAGAAACAGATTCCATGTGATTATGAATGCAATTCCACAAATTCTTTTTTCAGTATCAGTGAAAAATGAATAAGACTGTAAATTTGGAGTTTTTAAGTGGGAAGATGGGTAATGAGGGAGACAGGGGACTTCCTAAATCTTAGGAACACTTAGCTAATAATTTACAAAACTGGCAAGCTCCCCATGGCGGAAAGGATATGCCAAAAACAGTTAACAACAAGTCTCACAATGGAGACTTACTGGTACCCACTCAAGCAAATCAGAGAAAAATGGGAGGACAGTGCTACAGTGCTACAGTTAATTATTATGTAAAAGTCATAATTCAAACATCAGAGGTGATAGTTACCTAATATGTTACTTCTGAATGATTGAAATGGTCAGTGTAACACCTGAAACAAATGTTTTACATGATGTAAGCAACTGTATTCATTTCTGATACACTTTCAGTTATGTGTTGAGTTATATTTTAACAAAAGTGAATGCATAGACAGTATATGAAATTTAAAACAACATAACATAGCCCAAAGCATTTTACCAAAGGGAATCATGTTTAAATAAAGACAACAACTAAACAGGCATGAGCCTAAAAGGTCACATATACTGTTCACATATTTGTTGAATTAGTGAAATATTACAACCTTAAGAGTAAATAAGAAAACTGCAACCTTAGGTATGACCTAATGATAAAATATTAAAACCTTAAATAAATAAGATTTTGTAACAATTGGCCCTGGTCTGTGGCCTAGTTAAAGGAGAAAAAAAAATGATCTCAACAGCTTTGAATCTGATGCTAATTCTAGCTGACTCCTGGTACAATGAAAATATTCCTGGATTTAGAAATAAGGCACTTCAATCTAGCATGATTTCTGACACAAACCAACGGTGTGATCTTGGGCAAACTGCTTTGCACCTGTTTTCTCATCTCTAAAAATAGGGCTTTGCCTAATTTTAACTGTTTTGCCAGTTTTCTCATCTCTAAAATTAGGGCTTTGCCATAGTTATTTTCCGCTAACATTTTTTATGGAGGGGGGCTTTTTTCAAACCTTTCAATTAGATTTAAAAGGTCGCAACTATCTGACTTTCAGTAGAAATACTACCAGGGTCAATAGGTAAAATAACAGAAATCCAAAACCAACATTTAATTCTTGAACCCAGCTGTAGAAAGCGAATCACTTCACAATGCTTTTTCAGCATGTCTGATTTGGGGGGGGAGGTAAACTCTAAATAATAGTGGTGAATCTTTTATTGAAACAATGAATCTAATCAAAGCAGATAGAGTGTTAACTAGAATTCATCTGCCTCACAGGGACGGGGAGGGGTGGGGGTGGGGTTTTATTGGGGTTCTTCATGGTAAAAAATAAGTATTGGTAAAGGGAAATGTGTTTGATATTTGCATGACTGAGACCTAAACCTGAAAGCTTTGTAACCTTTCCCACAGTGATTCAATAAATAAAAAAAAAACAAAAGGTCGCAACTGTTTCTGTAGCGCTAATGCTTAGATTCCAACTACAGAAGAAACATAGTATGATGAAAAGTTTTCAAATTCTGGATTTAGGAAGGCTGGGCTCCCTCTGTAGACTAGATTTGGCGGGAGGAGTGGGGGTTAGGGGGAGGTGTTTTTGTGTGGATTTTTTGTCTGTTTGTTTATCAAAACACAGACTATCGAGCAAATTGGATTACAATTCCAGCATTATTACTCTTCAGTTATCTTGAACAGCTTAAGTTCCTGAGACTTCACATTTTCTAATACGTGAGACGCAAATAACATTGATTCCCTCCGCCCCTCTCATCTAGCTTTTGGAAGCCCTAAAGTAAATGATAAATTATTTTACTTTATTAACTGAATTGCATTTTATTCGTTGATAAATAAACTGGGGACAAATTCGCTTAGCTATTTTTCTCACCCACAAATGGGTGATACAAGAGTAACATTAAAAGAGACGGAACATACATCTACAAATTCCTGAGTGTTTACACGTCTGCGTTAGCTAATACTTGAACATCGTTTGCAAGAAATCCCCTTGCAAGAAATCCCCTCGCCTTGGAAACTGCAGGTACAATCAACCTGCAGCAATCACTTCTCTCTCGCACCGGGGCTCTCAGCTAACGGATTCAGGCAGGGCAGCAAAGGACGCAGGTCCACACGGCAGTTGTAGTTCGAGTCAAGCCGCTGCTGCAGAGACCTCCTTGGAAAGAAACTTCATTTCCCAGAAATGACCTTCCCTGGTCTCCCGGCACCCGCGGGAAAGCAGAGGCGAGACTCCAACTCCCAGAAACCTCTTGCTGCCCGGGCCCGGGGCCCTGCGGATGGAGCTGGGGGGAAAAGGTCTGTCCGGTCTGCGCAGTTGAACAGGTGCGCTCGGCGCAGGCTCCTTTGGGTACCGGACTCGCCCAAGAAGTTCAAAGCCTTAACAGGCTGCGCTATTTCCTGAGGCCTCTGGCTCTGTCTTTTAGAAATCCGATCTATTGGGATTATATTTGCACGTGGTGACACTCATGAAGCAGCTTCAGGTCTACAACCTTGGGCCAACTGGGCAGGAAGCTTTAAGCTCACTTTTCTGCATAAAGACTTCAAGTCCAAGGTCATCCAGCGGCCTCAGACTTTGGCCTCACAAAGGAAAATGCAAGTGCCATCTCTCGTCCCCCAGTTCCCTGTCGTTCGCTCAAAATACACACACACACACACACACACACACACACACACACACGGATATACTTTTTCAATCCTTATTTTCACTTCTTTTTTTTTTTTAAAAAAAAAAGCTAAACTGTAACTAAACTGTAAGGTATATAAAGAAATCAAGACCCACGAAATACCCACAAGTTCTCCCCACATAACGAACTCAGTGCTTTGTGTGTGTGTGTGTGTGTTTCAAATACCAAATGTAAACTTCCCTCCCCCTGATACTGTTTCCCTACTAGACACATGTTGCAATTCTGCCTTCCGGGGGGCGGGGAGGGGGGGGAACCCCGCCCTGGGTGTGTGATACGCTCCGTGGGGCGGATTCCTGCTTCATGCCTCTGGAACTGGCCACCATCCCCCAAGCGTCCAGTCTCCAGTAACCGCTGGACACCGGCGCTGAGGAGCATCTCGGAGCTTCGGCCCTGGTTCCGTGCCTCAGTTTACCCACTTAGGAAATGCGGCGAAGGAGCAGACTAGCGTTTAGGGCGGTGCTTAAGAGGGGGCTCAGACAAGGCTTTCCATCGGGGGGGGGGGGGGTGTCCTTCGCACAGACCACCAGCTCCCGAAGGACTGTGCCAGCCGACTGTCCGCAAAAACGGGGTCGCTAAGATACAGAGACCAGACGCCGGTGAAAAACCCAGCCCCGCGCCCTGTAAACACGGTCAGCGTGGCCTTGCCCCCTGCCCCTACCTTCCAAGATCTTGGCAGCTGGGAAGTGAAAGGCAGAGGGAGGGTGCGCGGGGCAGGAGCAGCGCTGGGCGTGCGCCCACTTGGGGTGACCGCCTCCAGTACCCAGGAACCCAGGGTCAGGGGCGGAAAAAGCGCGGCGACGGGTCGGAGCTGGGCGGAGACTACAACTCCCAGAAGGCCCCGCGGCGCGCGGGCACCGCCCCCAATATGGCCGCGCGCCGGCATCCGGCTCCGGGACCTAAAGCTCCAAGCCCGCTCCGGCCTGGGCCAATCAGCAGCTTAAGCGCTAGAAACTGTTTTCGGGTTGCAAATCCCGGGCGTTCCCTGGAGGAAAGCAGAAGCGAGACTCCCTGTAGGGAAGGATTTTTATCATGCACGGCACAACCCGGTCGTTTTTTTGTTGAAAACATATGATTCTGGGGGCGGAGAGTGTAGCGGGCAAGGCAGCCCACCCGGGATTCATTCATTCATTCATCGCTGCCCTGCGCCTGGTGCTCTGAGCATCCCCAGGTGTGATCCTTCAGCGCAGGGCTCGGAGAAAGCCAGGGCACCGCCAGGTGTGGCCCCAAAATAAAGAAGCAAGAAGAAAAGAAAGAAATAGGATTCTTTAGGCTATGCTGCATTTTATTATTATTATTATTATTATTATTAATTATTCAAAGTTCTTTTCAACTTTCCCTTACGGTACTTGTTGTTGACTATCGGTCTCGTGCTGGTATTTAGCCTTAGATGGAGTTTACCACCCGCTTTGGGTTGCATTTCCAAGCAACCTGACTCCGGGAAGACCCAGGCCCAGCGCACTGGGGGGCCACGACCGGCCTCACACCGTCCACAGGCTGGGCCTCAATCAGAAGTACTTTTCCTACTTTGGACAAGCTGGCAGGCTACCGAATGTAGCCTGCCCATACAGCAGAGTCTGGCAAACTCCCCGTGGCGTACCCAATATGCCAAATACCAGTAACAATGATGGGTCTCATTCTCCTAAATAGCCTTGAATATAATCTCAGGGCTAGGATGAAGGAGACGTTACTGGGGCCTACTCAAGGCAATCGACGAATAACAGGATGATCTGTGATTTGATTATTATTATTATTATTTTGTTTGCTTGCTTGTTTTTTGTTTGGGGGTCACACCCAGCGATGCTCAGGGGTTACTCCTGGCTTTGCACTCAGGAATTACTCCTGGCGGTGCTCAGAGGACCACATGGGATGTCGGAGATCGAGATCGAACCTGGGCTGGCCGCATGCAAGGCAAAAGCCCTACCCGCTGTACTATCGCGCCAGCCTTGATCCGGTACTTTCCCTCAAAAGTATTTAATTTCGTTCCGAATCCTCACTGGATTTCCTTTCCTTTCCATCCGTCATTCTGGATTTTTCTTCTTTAAAACTGCCTCGCTCTATATAATTCTCTCAGAATACGGGCTCTCAAGCCCTGAGCGAATCTATTTATGACTTCCCTTTGCCCCCCGAGACAAGCATCCTAAGTAAAATACCATCACAAATTCCGCTGGTTCTCTTCCTTAGCGCTTATTCTTCCAAGAGTGCTTATATAATTTATTTATCTATTTTATTGTCATTCCCACTAAAGTACCAGGTCTATGCAAATAGGGCTTTTATTCAGTGACCATCATATTATAAAGTATATAAATTATAAAATGTATGTAGTAAAAAGATAAGTATGTAAGTTATAATTATATTGGATAATTGAATGATATCTAGAATTACTTTTTTTTTTTTAACTCTTGGCGGTGCTCGGGGGACCCTATGGGATGCTGGGGGTTGAAGCCAGGTTGGCCGCATGCAAGGCAAATGCCCTACCCGATGTGCCATCGCTCCAGCCCCTAGGCTGTGGGTTCTTGAGAATTGAGCGAAAGGTTTGCACACAGAGTTGGAGTCTGTTACCCAGTTCGGAGAGGGCTCGGCTTCTGGGTGTGACGACGCTCGTTCGTCTCGGTCTGGTCCCAGATGCCTCTCGTGTAGGATGATGGTCCTGTCACCTGGCTGTTCTCTCCTTGTCATTGTCCGGGCATATAAGCCCTGCCTGGTTCCACCATCTGCCTTGGCGTAGATGAAGAGGGCAGAGAATGGAGAACACGGCAAGGTGCAGGGAGGGAGGAGGAGGAGGAGGAGAGAGAGAGAGAGAGAGAGAGAGAGAGAGAGAGAGAGAGAGAGAGAGAGAGAGAGAGAGAATAGAGAGGAGAGTAGAATTATATTTTTGTTCTACTTTTCTTCAGTGGAGATTAATTACATTTCTCTCTGACTTCTGCTGGTCCTAGTGTTGGGTTTTTTTTTAATTCAAAATAAGAGTCTGTGAGATAGTGCTGGAGTAAAGGCCCAAGAGGTGGCTGGTTGTATCCCAGCACATGGCTTGCCGAGAGACCGCCAGTCCAGTGGAGACCTGGAGGACCCTCTAGCCCTCCCATCTCTCCCTCCACCCCTGCCTAGCCCCCCAGAACACTGCATCCTTGGGACTTCTGCTGGGAAGGACTTGAGTCCTCAAATTCAATATTTTTGTTGGTTTGTTTGGGGGCCACACTCCACAGGCTCAGAGCTTATTCCTGGCTCTGTGCTCAGGGACCACTCCAGATGGCTGGGGCATATGCGGTGCCAGGTTCAAACCAGGGTCAGTGGCTTGCAGGACCCTACCTGCTGTGTTATCACTCCAGCCCCTCATAATAATTTTCTTAATACATTCTGTGCCAGATGACATTTGGGTGCTGCAGAAACCATTGAATCACACCCAATTTCTGGCCTTGAGATGCACCTAGTTTGGTGACTCCCTAGCAGCTAAATAATATTCACTCTGTCATATTGTTAGTGAGGGAAGAATGTATTGTTAAAGGGAAGAACAGCCATGTCAGTTGGGACAAACACTGACTATGTCCCTATTTTTCCGATTCACCAAATCTCTCTCTCTCTCTCTCTCTCTCTCCCCTCTCTCTCTTTCTCCCCCTCTCTCTCTCCCTCCCTCTCTCTTTCTTCCTCCCCCCTCCCCTCTCTCTCTCTGACATACACACACATACATAGAGTTTTCTTTTCCCTTTGACCTTCATTATGTAGAAATGATTACACCAAGGCTTAGATCTCACATCCTTTCTGATACCCCACAGAGAGTAGCAAGTTGTCCTACAAGACGTCCTAGAGTGAAATACTGATGTCCTTAGAACCTTTATTCTCAGAAAATGTCACAGAGGATTATGATCAGTTTACAGGTCTTCACAGAGACAACAGGGTCACATAAAATATTTTAGATTTTTTTTATAATTGAGAATTGAAAATAATTACAGATAAAACAGCAGGAATATGATCAACATGGACAGACTGATTTGTGCATAAGGATTAAAACCCTGTGCAGATTTCCTAGCCAAATCTGTCAGTTTGCGGTTATTTTCTGTAATAAAATATTTCTTTCTAGCTTTCATGAGCACAGATTCAGTTCAGTTGTCCCAGTTTTTCTCAGGCTGATCAACATGAGCAATTTCAACACATGTGTTCAACAGCCAGACTTAACATGGAAGAAATCACTGAACCATATGAAACTAGAAAACTCAACAACTTGACTCTTCCTGAGAAAGTATCAGTCTATAATCATTACATCTACTACATAGCAATCAAAAAGAAATGCCAGTGTTAATGAATGATAATTAAATCATTGTTGGGAATACTAGAGTGAGCATATAGGAATTACTTCACATGTGAATGAAGCTGTGATATACTCACAAAGACATGACACTTGTGTTGGACCCAACACATTGACCTGCTAAGACAGTCAGTGAAGATTTAATAATATGTTCTTCTATCCAGCTGTATAATCACCTGGAGATGGTTTCATAGTTTGAGTTCTTCCAGATATACGTCCAACTATATGTAGCTATTCATCTTTAAATAGTTTCTTTGGGAAGTGATTGCAGGAATTACCTACACGAGAATAAGAAACTAAATGAATAAAAATAGACAGAACGGTGGACTATCAAGCATGTAACAAGGGGTTACTGGAGCTTACTTTTCATGAAGACCTCTAGGAAACAGGGTTCAAGCAAAGAAACAAAAGAATTGAGTTGTTTGAAAATCAAGTCTCTTGAAGGTCTTTATTTTATTATTTGTTTGTTTGCAATGCTGAGGATAGAACCCAGATACTCATGCATTCAAGGAAGGCATACACTTTACCAATTAGCCACATCCATGGTCTTCAAGTTCCATGAGATATTTTTTGGTAACTGTTCTCAGGAACTACTAAATTTCTGGTTCTCCTCCCATGCCATGTTAGAAGGCAGAGTTGCCTCAGTGGTCAGAGAAAGCCAGCCATACTGGTGCTGCATAAGCACAGAAATGATGAGTATAAAGGATAGGGGAGATACCGGTATTCTCTGCTATTGGTGACTCTGATTCATCACAAACCTTTTCACTGTTATTAACATAATGAGAATAATTCAAAAATTAAGTAGATACATACAAATAAACCCAACAATCTGCCACTTTGTATATCTCATGTGAACCATTAGTAGACAGTACTTTGTAATCCTCACTGAGATTTAAACCAGACCAAATCACAAGAGTATCATTTAAAGTAGAAAATAGGAACTCTGGAGACTTAAAGAGAGACTGCAGGGAAATAGGGTTTGGTACAAAAGGAGGAGAAAACAATTTTAAAAGAATGAAAAATAAAATTTTAAATACTGGAGGCAGTGTGTTATTTACATCAGAATATTAAAAAACACACAAGGTATTAGGATTTTTGAGAAGTGAATATAGATTATGGTCTTTAGACCTAATATAGTATGTGAAAGATTTTTGTGGGTTGTGCTGTTACAGCTTCCTTTTTGTTTCTATTGGTCCTCATTTTTGCTTTTGATTTGGGATACACTCCCAGCAATACTCAAGGGCTGCTCCCTATTCTATGCTCAGGGGTCATTCCTGCCAGTGCTCAGAGGTACTAAAGTCAATTAGGGACATCCCAAGAAAAGTAAGTATTCAGCCCTTTGAGGTGTCTCTCTGGACCTATCATAGATTTTTACAAAAATAAAATAGAAGACCTTTACTTGAAATTTCAGCCAACATTTATTTGTATTTTTAAGCTGGAGCGATAGCACAGCGGGTAGG